CCCCCGCACCCCCCACTTCCGTTCTTTTGGGGGAGGGGGGTCAATGGTTTAACCGGTAAGGCATGCAAAACATAAGAGTACGCCCCCCCCCCCCCCCAACCCCCCACCCCAAAGCACACCTTTTGAGATTTAGCGGGTCGATGGCGCACTCCAGGTCCTTGAACAGCCCCTGGTCCTCGGCCTCCACGGCGTCCGTGAGCCTCGCGCAACAGGTGAGCACCAGCAGCAGCCGCTCGTCCGGTGTGTGCATGCGGTCCAGAAGGTCCACCAGCTGCTCGGTTTCGAAAAAAAAATGACGAAAATAATTCGTCGACCGACCGACCGACCGACCGATGCGTTAGCAGCTTTGAGACGGGACGCGGTGGAACGCGTGTGTTGGGATCGTTGGCGGTGGACACCGCCCCCCGCCCCCCCGTTGTTGTGTTCGAGCACGTTCGCGACCTGGGCACTAGCTACGGCCACCTCCGGGGTTTTGAGCGGCTAAACACGAACGGCACGCTTCGAATCGCACTTCAAAATAGCAATGAAAAATAGTAATACTTGGCACGCACTGGAACACACGAAAAGAACAGAGGACAAACCAAAGCCCCACCCAACACAACACAACACAACACGAAAAAATGGGCCACCATATATGTAAAAAAAAAAAAAAAGTCCCAGTGCTGCCTGCCTGCACACACACATACCAACTGCTCTACCTGTTCTTTTGTACGTGCAACGCATGCGCACCAACATGACAAAAAGACACCCCGCCGGCGGCCCAAGAAACACGATTCTTCGGTTCCGGCTATAATGCCGCCCGCGACCCTGCTTCCCGCCCCTGGCTCCCTCTACTCCCCTCCCCATCCCCCCGGCCACGGACCTGGTGGCAGCGAACGCGCTTGTCCTCCAGGAAGCTGTCGAGCTCTTTCATGCGGTCGAGCCTAGGCCGGCTCCCCTCCCCGACGTGGGCCACGAACAGCTCCAGCTCCTCCCGACCGAGCTCGTTGAGGGCCATCAGCTGGGCCGCCACCGGCATCGTGAACCTATGCCCCCCCACCCCACGCGCGTCGAACAGGTAACAGTAGATGCGAGGGCTGATAAAAGAAAGGTTGCAGTGACAAATGTCTGCTGAATAACGCGATGGGAAGGCTCAGAAAGGTTGCAGCGACACAAAAATCTGCTACATAACGCGGTCGCAGGAGCGGGGGGGGGGGGGGGGGGGGGTCACGATGCCGGTGGCGGCCCCGCTGGT